AAATTCGGCAATGACAATAAGAAACAATTGAGTGTCTACTCTCTGAGAATCGTACGTTGAAAAGCAATGTTACAAATAATTGATCGGCCAAGATTTTCAGTGATACGATCTTCGTTCGGGTTTGAAGGCCGTCGTGGTTTGGAACTGTTTCGCCAGCACGAGTGGCTGGCTTCAGTGGCTTCTTCAGAGGTTTATTCATCCTGATGGTTCACCAATGACCAGTGATTTCTAGTTCGTAAGCTGTATTCATGTTGACACAGGTAGCCCGCCTCTCTAGTTGTTGCGTTGTTATTGGCCGAAGTGTCTTACGTTGCATTGCACTGCTGCCACTTCAGCATCTTTATGTATGGGATTCCGAATTCAGTTAACGGTTATCGCCTTCAGAAATTATTTTATTATAGAGCCCTGATTATGGTTTTAATAAAGTTGTTCATGTACGAAAAATATTTTGATTCCTTTTCCGCCTAATCATAATCATCATAATCATAATCATAATTTATTAGCCCAAGTATGTATAAAGTACATTTAAGGTTGTCATAACAGAGGTATAAGTATATGTATAGAACGTAGATTCAGTGTAAAACATAGAAAAAGTAAACGACATATAGTTTAGTGACAAACAGTACATGACATTTACAGTATCTGAGAAACTTTCAACAAAATTATTAACAATTTCAGTGGATTATGGTTGTATTTCATCAAAAGAGAAGTCAAAAAATTCGTCGAGATTGTAGAAAGCATTATACAGTAAAATTTCCATAACTGCAGCTTTAAATCTTTTTATCGGAGCATTTTTTAGTCCATTTGGTAATTTATTGAAAAGTTTCAGAGCAGTATAATTTGTTGGCTGCTGAGTTCTTTTCATTCTATGGTAGGGAATACTCAATAAATTTTTATTTCTGGTGTTGTAGTAGTGATATGATGAATTTAGAGATAGTGAATTCTCATTTTCTTTAATGTACANTTCGAAAATCATTTTTTATCAAAGGGGTATGAGTTCAACTACGACTATGAAGTATCTACCACATTTGGAAGACAGAGGTTTGAAACTCAATTTTTTGAAATGTTTAGAATTGAATTCTTTTCCTCTCCTGATTCTGTTTTCCAACGTGGACATTGGTTATTAGTTTATGACATGTGTATTTAATGAGTTGGTCAAAAAATTCACTTTTCACCTGAACTCAGGTGAAATTATCAGTCATTAAGTAGGTGAAACGTCATATGATTCAAATTGTTATTATATAATGCAAAAATTGGGTAGTATTTAGTCACTGTGAAAACGTTTGAGGAAGCAATTGTATAGCGAAACATGTGTTGCGGTTTTGTAAAATGTGCAGTAGAAATCTCGCACAATGAAGTTTTGACTTAATTTCCTGTTTTTTTTAAATCTATTTCCGTTCAGTTAAAAAAAATTCAATTAAAAACAACATCCTGACATATTAACATATTTCAACATTCAAATTGATATCAAAATGATAGGCTCATCCCATATATCGCTGTCAACTGGTACGCAGAATGTTGGTGGAGAAATGTAAACTATAAATCGCCAATAGGGCATAATACACCGCGGTGAACATCGAGGCTACCATTAGCTAATTAACTGGCCTTGTATAATCGTTCGTTACAAGGATTTCAACGGGATCAGACAATTAGACCTTTATATCGTATATGTGGACCCTGTTCGAAATTGCCAATTAACAATTTCGTTCAACGTTAGGAGAACCAGGAAAGTGTTTTGTTTTGCTTGCGCAGCATTATATCGGGCATTGNAAAACTTTCGGCGATTATAATTTTCGTGTATTCGCTAAAATGTTCGGTCAAGATGAAATGTCACTAAATTAATTTTCCCAGGCATACATTTTAGAATCCACATGAGCAGTCGAACTTATTCAGGTCGCTCGAGTTTTCGCAATTTTCCGAATTGAAAGAGTTACAATTTTTATATTCAAGATCAATTTACAAGACAAGATAATTATTCTTCATCGAGAATATCTGTATGAGCTTCTCTTGCAAAACCCAAAACTTCTGAATCCTTTGAATAGTTTCAATGCCTTCGAATAGCTCTCATCTCAATATGATTTGTATGTCATTTGAAAAAAAAGGCTTGAAGATCGTAAAATACAAACTTATAGATAGTTATGCAATACTTACTTGTTCGAAAATGTGAACAAATATTATCTGATAGTTGCATCTGTTACCATTTGTTGCATCTGTTTTTATGGGTTTAATTACTTTAATTCAGTAGAGATAAGTTTTTCAAACCTAAACACTCCTCCCTGATTTGAGTATTGTAATCTTCCATAGCCATTTGATTCATGTGTTCAGTATATACACATTCACGTTGTTCACCTGAATGAGTCTTCTTGAAAACAGTATACAATTTTCACATCTACTTTTTATATCGATTCATATATATGAAACTAATGTATTCCTGATATCTACTTCTGACAACAGACTTATCTACCAAAAGCCATACTTCATTACATACAATCATCAATAAATATCAGATATGAGCACATCGCTGACCTCTATAATTTTTCAATAAATGACGGTCGTAAAAAATTTGCTGTCGATTGCTCCATTTATGAAGCCACCTTAAAAATGGGTAGTAGTATGGATATTATTACTTGCTTCCTCCATTCAGAAATTTCCCACAAAGGAGACAAAGGAAATCAAAAGCAACTCCAATTTTCTTCAAGGAAAAAACACAAGCACTGCAGGAAAATCCTCAAGTCGCTCTAAAAGCGGTGCCTGTGCGAAAGTAATGATTCATGTAACGTCCAAATTTCATTCTAAGAGTACATTAGTAATTACACGCCCTGTATGTGAAATCAATCTCATTTATTCAGCACAC